ATATTCATACATTAATATCATTGAAAGTGTTTATCTTTTGCTTTTTGCCATTGATCAAAACTTCATGCATACATGTTTATTTTCTGTCTTGCATATTAAACTCCAAATATTTTATCTGTAAGTCTTAGCTAATTAAGAAACCACATAACTAAACTAGGCCGTGAGTCCTTTGGGAAGAACGATACTTGGTCTTACCAAGTTTATTACTTGAACGATTCGGTCATACTTGCCGATTGAAAAACAAGTTTGTGACATCATATTTTGGTGTTCATAAATTTGTCCATCAGTAGACAGGTTTGTAAATGTGGTTAACATGACAGTCAACCAAATCATTGATGACATTAAGAAGTCATTCAGTGTTGGTATAATTGCTTGGAAAGCTGGAAAGGCCAAGAAAATTGCTTTGGATTCTTTGGTTGGTGATGGAGAATGACAATATGGTCGTCTATATGATTATGTAGGGGAATTGCTAAGGGTGAAGTCTGGAACCTTTAAAATTAAAGTCAATCAACCCGAACCAAGTTTGCCACCAAGATTTGGCTCTTTTTATATGTGTTTAGAGGGCTGTAAGCAAGGTTTTTTAGAAAGTTGCAGGCCCTTCATAAGGGTAGATGGTTGTCATCTGAAGACAACATATGGTGATCAATTGTTGGTGGCAATTGGCAGAGACCCCAATGACCAATATTTCTCACTAGCTTTTGCAGTGGTTGAAAATGAATGCAAAGAAAGTTGGAGATGGTTTTTGACACTACTTTTGGATGATATTGGTGGCATTGATTGTCAACGTTGGGTGTTCATTTCTGATCAACAAAAGGTATTTTAATTTTACTGTCATCATATTTTTTTTCTGTAACAGTCACTGTATTTAGCACAATTATTTTGTGTTTTGCAAGGACTAATGACAATTTTTGATGACATCTTGGATGGAGTGGAACATAGATTGTGCTTAAGGAACTTGTATAACAATTAGAAGAGGAGATTTGGTGGAGGAGTGCTGATCAGAGATCTTATGATGGGGGCTGCCAAGGCCACATTTGAACAGGACTGGGAAAAGAAAATGGGTGAGTTGAAAACTGTTAACATTGATGCTTACAATTGGTTGCTAGGTATTCCAACTAAGTATTGGTGTAAACATGCATTCAGTACTTATCCTAGATGCGATGTCTTGATAAATAATTTGTCTTAGTCATTTAATAGTACAATTTTACTAGTTAGAGACAAACCTATCATAACTATGATGGAATGGATTAGAACTTACATTATGAGTAGGTTTGCAACACTTAGAGAAAAAACAATGACATATCCAGGAGTTGTAATGCCTAAACCACGAAAAAGGCTTGATAGGGAAGTACAGAATAGTGGAAATTGGATTCCAACATGGGCAGGGGCTGCCAAATTTAAAGTTACTCACGGGTTTACAAACATTGGTGGTGCAAAGATGACGACGATAAAGGTGGTGGTCGGCGAAGTTGGTAGGTGACGGTGGAAAGAGAAGGCAAGGGGAATTAGGATTTTTGGTGGAAGAGGGTGATGACGTGGAAAAATGTGGTGGACAAATCATTCACTATAGGCTAAGGTGGACATTACACCATTAGCGTTTTTTAACGCCGTCAGCAAAAAAGACTAACTTCAACCATTTTTATAAAACATTTGATGTTAGGGTACAAGGTATATGAGAGAAGAAGGTATAGGAGAGAAGGAGAAGGGCACCGAACGGTGGAAGACGGGGAACGACCAGGCCGAACAGTGGAAGGTAGGGAGCAACCAGGCCGAAAGGTGGACAACGAGGAGCGAGCAAGCCGAACAGTGAACAACGGGGAGCGACTAGGCCGAAAGGGGGGAAGTAGAGAAAGGTCAAGCCGAAAGGTGGTAGGCTGTGGGGAGTCGAGCCGAACGACGGAAGATGGTGAGAGCTCGAGCCGAGCGGCGGGAAGCAGTGAAGGACCTGAGCCAAACGGTTGAAGAATTACCATCCTAACTGTCGCAGCTGTTAGGATGGGCGAGAACTAATTATAGTAAAAGGGAGCCACAATTGAGGAGAATATCCCGTATAAGTTAATTACAGTAAATAAATATATATTCTAGGAAAATATTCAATATAAGTTAATTATAGTAAATAGAATTATATCTTAGGGAAATATTTAGTATAAGATAATTATAGTAAATAGAATTATATCCTAGGAAAATATTCAGTATAAGTTAATAATAGTAAATAAAATTATATTCTAGGGAAATATTTAATATAAATAAAGCTAGATGCTATTGTTAAGGGCATGTTTTTTATTATTGAGTTTGTTGACAGGCGGCTATGCTACTGTGAGGGAGGTTATGCTCCCAAGTAATTGAAGGAGGTTATGCTCCCAATTATTGTTTACTTTTGTTTATTCAGATATTACCATCAATAAAAGAGATTCATTCGTTCATTATCATTCGTTCATTGTCTTTTCTACCTATTGTGATCGTGTTTAATTACGTCTTCGACTTGGATACGTAACATGTGACCACTCTGAAATACTCAAAAATAGGAAAATCACTTTAAACACAACTAACAAAATTAGGGACCAAAATTGATATTAAGTCTTACAATTATGATAGTTAAAACAACAAAATTAACACTGATATAGATCATCAAAATTCTCCTTTAAGTATTAAATACAGTTGTGTATTCATGATTCAAATTTGAAATGACTAGTGACACTGAAACAACTCTATAAATCTGCAGACTGCCTAATTTATTTATAAACTTTCGGACCAAAGGTTTTTAGCCATTAATATATATTTCTTGAGAACTACAGCAATAAATTTTAACTGTAGATCACGATTGACATGCTTTGGTTCAATTTAAGGCCAATTAGTAATTAAATAGTCAAATAACCTAACAATTAAAAAAGTTATACTCCTCAAAATGCTTACATGTTCAAAACAATTTATATAGCTAAGCCAGTAGCTCAAAATGTTAATGACTTATACCACACCATCTGGACCAGCTGTATCTGTCACTTGTATCTATAAAACATTATCTTACTATAAATATATAGACATATATAGAAACTGCAGGAATATATATAAGGACCCTTTAATTTCTTGTGTTTCAAGGGATCTGATTTCTGTATAATTCATAACAGAAGGTCAGAAAGCCAGAGTTTTTCCCTAAACCAACGGCATCTTTCTCCTTCATCCTTATAGTTTTGATAGTTGAGTTTAATCTTATAGTATTGAACAGTGCCAAAATAGGGGTCACTTCAGTTAGTTTCTTTTGCAACATAAAAATAAAAACTGGTCCCAACGCTTTTCTATCAGTGTTACCAAATTAGTAGCATACCAGTAAAGAATTTGGTGCATATTAGAGGAGTTTAGGACTGAATTAGTATTAATTCTAGTGAGCAAGACTAGAACTGAGTCAGAATTAGGATGCATAGAGGCTAAATTTGAGATTCCAAAATGCCTATAAAAAATTGTATTACAGAAAAGGTTGATTTAGTTAATATGATATTCAGTAACTTGTATATAGGGATAATGGACAGAATGAGAAATACATTTATGAGGATTTGGTGCATATGATAGTGACTTGAGTATTAGATGAGATAATTCTCGCTTCTTCTGTTTAAAACAACTACACAAATCTATACCAGTAAATTTAACTACTAGATGTCAAGAGATGTATTGAACTCGATGTTAGATATGATCCACCGTAAGCAAAAATATGTGCTCGGCCAGATAATGTAATCTTGGTAGAGCTGCCCTAACAAGATTAAGAAATATACAGATAAAAATAGGCATCATAACAACATAAATGTTTAACACAATACCATCAAAACAAATTCACCAGCAGGAATGAGCCCCTCTCAACTAATGTACTTAATTCTCAAATTGTTCATTGTGAAGAAATCAAACTGCAGAAAAGTGCCTGCAAAAGTATTTTCTAAACACAACTTTTACAATCTAAGTACAGCGGTTTAACTAAAAGGGTATCAACTACAGTGCTGTAAACTTAAGCTATCTACCATCAAGAGCTATTGAAAAGTAGAAAATAAATTCACTAACTAATTATAATAAGTAAGGTGGAGTACACTATATAATCTAAAAGATGTCAGCAATAATGGCCTAGTAAGTGTCATCATTTAGCTTCCAGGAATTAAAATAATATTCTAATATCTTGAAGCCATCCATAAAATCCTTTAACCATTTAGGTTTCAAGGTATTTTTATGGTGGCAACATTTTGTTTAGAAGGGATATGTATGCTTTTTAGTTCTGCCATCGGATAACTTCCCATCAGATTTAATGTTCCACATAGCCGATACTAGAACTGTATTTCCTGTGACAATATTGGAGGATCATAACCTTCTTCCCTCATTTTTGCATCTAATTTTCTTAGCATTTCATAAATCTGATCAGATTCACCATGCAATCTGTCACCAGCAATGAAACTGTAAACTTTATTCTTTATCTCAACCATGCTTTGACCAACAGTCTTCTTCAACCTATTCTCCTTTATCAATGTCCTGACTTTTGCAGCATCAAGCCAATTATTGTCCACACAATATATATTTGATAACAGTATATAATACCCTGCATGATTAGGATCTAACACGAAAAGATTCTGAGCTGCAAACTCCCCCATCTTTATATTTTCATGTATACGACATGCACCAAGTAAGGCTCCCCATACATGAGGGCCAGCTTGCATGGGCATGCCATTAATCAAGTCCAAGGCCCTATCCAACTCTCCCATTCGACCAAGAAGATCAACCATAATCCCGTAATGCTCTGAATTGGGCATCAATTGATACTCATTCACCATGACGTGAAACATCTTTATCCCATCTTCAATCAAACCTGCATGACTACAGGCAGATAGAATTGAGACAAAGGTTACCTCGTTAGGCTGAACATCTGAAAGATTAGTCATCTCATAAAATAATTTCAAAGCCTCTTCTCCTTGCCCATGGAATCCATATGCTGAAATCATTGAGCTCCAGGTAACAACATCTTTATGAGCCAATCCTATAAAAAACTTGTTAGCATTATCTATGCTACTGCATTTTGTATACAACTCTATGAGTGATGCTCCAATAAATTCATTATTTTCAAATCCACTTTTAGTTATAAAAGCATGAAGGCACACAGCTTGTTGAAGAATCCCTAATTCTGAACTTGCAGTAAGAATCTTCACCAGAGCAATAGCATCAGGTCGTGTTCCACTTGATAACATGCTGCAAAAAAACGTCAAGGACATGTGTGCCATTCCAACTTCAGCATACCCACTAAACAAAACAGCCCAAGAAACTACATCTTTATTGGGCATTCTGTTGAAAAGGTCAATTGCTTTTGCGGGCGAAAGACACTTCATGTACATATCAATAAGAGCTGTAGAGACAATGATATCCAACTCGAATCCATAGTTGATTGCCAATTTATGGATATGTGTACCTTCTTCCAAATTTGAACTGGAAGCACAAGCCCTCAATGCACTAATTACTGTAACCCTATTGGGTTCAATTCTTTTATCTATCATTTCATTGAAAAGATCTAATGCGCTGGTTTCAGATCCATTATCAGCATAACACGCAATCATTGAGCTCCAAGATACAATATCCTTATTTGGCATTTCCCTGAACAAATTAGCTGCACTCTTAATAGAACCAAGTTTTCCATACATATTTAGCATAGAATTGGCCAAACATAACTTGGTGTCAAAACCCATTCGTTTCACAAATCCATGTACACTTCTTCCTGTGTTAAAATCAGATAACTGGGCACAAGCAGAAGCAGCGCTAACAAGTGTTACTGGATCGGGACTTACTTGCTCCAACACAACCATTCGGGAGAAAAATGCAAGTGCAAGTTCAGGACAGCCATTCTGCTCATACCCAGTAACTATTGAAGTCCATAAAACCACATCTGGTTTTGAATACTCAGTAAACACTTTCAAAGCATCATTCATTTGTCCACATTTTGAGTACAGCTCAATCAGTGCAGACCCTACATACATGTCATTATCTATCTTCCCCTTCTTGAGAAATCCATGAATCATTTTCCCCTGCTCAAGCTTCCGCAAACCTGCACACGATTTAAGAGCAATAGACAGTGTGTAATTGTCAGGTCTTTCCTCAATTGACACTGCATTGGCACTCATTTGATAGAATAGAGATAATGTCTCCACCCATCTTCCCTCCATAAAGTAGGTCCTAAGCAAAGCATTCCATAAATAGGCAGTTCTACAAGTCGTTTCTTCAAACAGCCTATGTGCATGAAAAAGGGATGCATATCTAGCATAAAGAACATTAAGCTTTGTAACAACGAAACTATCATGGGCGAGGCCCAGTTTCAAACACTGCGAGTGCAACTGTGTAACTGATGTCTTACTGCAGCAAGTCCCCAATAGCTTGACTAAAAGATCCCTTCTTTTCATGTATAATGACTGATGACTTCTATAACCTAAAGAGCATCTCAGCTAATTCATAGCTTCTGAATTTGAAGCTCTCAATCATGTTATTTTTATGCAATCATGTCTGTTGATAAGCCATATAACTGAAACAATTAGTACATGGGCTTTAATTAAACATACTTTGGTTGAATCAAAGAAGAACACACGTAGAGAAACAGGACGAACAAAGCATTCATTACAATAGTTAACAACTTATGCCAATATGGCACCAGTTCCAACACATCATTAGTCATTAATTTCAACGAAAAAAGAAAACTAATTCATGTAAAAAGCTTAAAGGGAAAGATAACACCGTTTCGGAGGAGATTTGGAATCCTTCAGGTGTTGAAAAACAAATAAATTTGGGAACTTTGTAAAATCACAATTTTATATTTAATAAATCAGTAGTTTTTGTCTGATCCTTAATTTTGCATATATTTTTCTTTTACCTTTTAGTTTTTAATTAATTAAATTACTTTTTATAGTACTTTTAATAAATATGTTAAAATTTGAAAAAAAAAAATTAATGCTAAACTGAAATTAGGTCCAAATAAAAAAAATTAATTTATAAACTAAAAGTATAAAAAGAGAGTCTAGGATTAAGAACCAAAATTAAAATTAAAAAGTTTATCCAAATAATAATTTACCGCTGATTTTTATAATATATTATAAGTTTAATTATACATTTGCTCTTTAATATTTGGTTGGCTTAATTTTCTCCTCTTATTATTCTTATTTTGTTCAATTTAGTTTTCTTTATATTTTTAAAGTTATAATTTAGTTATTGTTATTATGTTGGCAGTCATGTTATATTAATAATAGAATTTTTAATTTTTTTAATTTTTTTAATTTTTTTAATTTTTATTAATTTTTTTATTTTTATAACTATTTATGAAAAAGCATAAAGTATGATGTATACGATAGTGACACTGATTATATAAGTTAGTCTTATTGTCACATATAACAATGATTGTTTCAATTAGTATTTATATTTAAAATTTTGATTGAATTTAGTTTCATTTCTTACGGTGTCATGAAAATTATTGTTTTCAATTTAATGTTTATATTTAAAATTTTAATTCAATTTAGTTTTATTTCTTAAAAACAAAGAAATTTGGTGTTTTCCGATTTGAGTCCAATTACTCTAGTTAATTATAATTTATATATATATATATATATATATATATATATATATATATATATATATAATATTTATGTTAAAATAATTTTATAAAAT